GCAAGGAAGACAGGAAGAGCCGTCCCCCTCAACCCTAAACCCTCTATAGACCCACAAATTGCCCCGCAAATGCCTCGCGTTTTGGAGCCCTAACTTTCAGGAGCTCAGGGCGACAGTTCATCCACGAGGATGCCAGGATTTTTGACACTTGGGGGGGGGGGGGGGGGGNNTACCCATAGGCCCCTAAGTAGCTCCCTTTTGTGGTTTATGTTTAGAATCCTATAAGGTAATCCCAAACAGGAACTACTTAGGGGCCTATGGGTAAGGCTTCAGCTTGGAAAGTTTCGTTGAGGAAATACATTTTGGAGTGTTTAGAGCCTTAGGGGGGTTCCACGGATTGACAGAAATTCGGGCTTACAGCTTCCATAAAAACTCTGTTCCCGGAGACCCTGAACCCTCAACCTTACTTCTTCGACCCTTTCCAGCCTGTCCACACTAAACCCTGAACCCCAAGCCCAAGCCCTAACTCAACCCTAAGACCTAAACCGCCTTGAGCCCAAACCCTCTTGATGCCGAAACCCTAAGGCCTTAATACGCGGGCCTGAATTATTGGCATGAGGTGTGGGAGGGCATAATGTACTATAAATATATCATGAGGAGCCCTAATTCGGAAGAGTATTCTGCAATTTATATTGTGGTCCTCGGGGCCCGACCCATAATTAGTCTCCATTATAGTTCATTTTTAAGGATCCTACAAGGTAACCACAAAAGGAACTACAATGGAGACAAAAGGGAGTGTTCTTGGAGCCTTAGCCTTGGGGTGAAAAGGAACGCAGACCCATCGCCCGGAAGGCACGGCTAAACTCTAAACCCTAAACCTAACCCTAACCCTAAACCCTAAACCCCAAACCCTGAACCCCAACCCTAAACCCGAAACCCTAAACCCTAAAACCCTAAACCCTAAGCCCGGAAGGCACGGCCTTCAGCAGCTTCTGCGCCTTCTCGGCCTGCAGGTGAGCGGTAAAGCAAGCGCTCTTTTCTTTAGGGGTTTAGGGTTTAGGGGTTAGGGTTTAGAGGTTTAGGGTTTGGGGTTTAGGGACAAAGGGTTTGAATGGGGCGTTTACGGAGTTCTACAAACTACGGCTTAAGTCATTTAGGGTTTTGTAGAGGTGAAAACAACCTGATACTGGCTTTAGGCGGTTTTTAGGATTTAGGGTACTAGCTGCCCCGATAGCTAGTTTGAATAAGTAAGGCTTCGGGGCAATTTGTCGCAAGATTGCGGTATAGCTTATAGGCAGATAGAGTCATAGAGGCTAAAAGGAGGGTAATCAGCATCTTCTCAACTATCTATGATTTGGCCTGCCCTTGAAGTACTTCTTGATAGAGAGGCCCTCCAAAGATGCTTAGTCTTTCGGTCTCAGGGTTTAAAGACCCAGCCGATCCTAGGGTTTAGGGTTTAGGGGTTTAGGGGTTTAGGGTTTAGGGCCCCAACCCCACATCCCGGATTGCAGATCGTGGCAACCTTGTGGCCGACAACACGCAAAGAGCTTGAGGCCCGAGGAAGCCCGAGCCCTGAACCCTAAACCCCTAAACCCCTAAACCCCTAAAACCCTAAACCCCTAAACCCCTAAACCCTAAACCCTCAACCCCCCTCGGAACCCTAAACCCCAAAGCTTAGATCCGAAACCCTCAGACTTGAACCCCAAGCCCTAACCCCTGAACCCACAACCTCCGAGGGATTTGAGGCCGCCATCGACTTCTTATACAAGCAATCAGAGATCTATACCAAATCACTGAAAACCCAAGCCCAAACTCCCCAAAAAAACCCTTAAATCTGAACTCTTCACTTCTGCGCCTGTGCCATGATGTAGACGCTGGCGTGTCGCGGGGCCGAGCGTGTGCCCACTGGGTCGGCCGCTCCGACCCTTGAACCCAAAGACGGCGAGTCGTAATTGTCAGATCCTTCTGTTCAGGTGGTTTAGGGTTTAGGGTTTAGATTTTAGGGTTGTCAGTTCCCTCTGTTCAGGTGGTCCATTGGGCCTACTGCAGTCTCAAGTGGGCTTGCTCCCCCCCCCCCCCACCCACCGAAGAGTTCGGGGATGAGTTTCAAGGTGTAGATGCCCCGAAGTTCTAAACATCAAGCCTAATACCAGCACTCCCAAGTACGCTTTGAGGGGGTCTTACATTCCGGATTCAGCGGTAAAAGTAGGTGGGGCCTGCCCTAAACCCTAAACCCTAAACCCCTAAACCCTATAATAGGGACATGGGTAGGGTGCTATAGGGTTTAGGGCTCACGCCTCAACCTAGTACACTCAGAGCTTGGCATTCAAGGCTTGTTTAGGGTTTAGGTTTTAGGGTTTAGGGTTTAGGGTTTTAGGGTTTAGGGTTTTAGGGTTTAGGGTTAGGCCACCTGTTTATGGTTTTACCTATAGTCTCCATTGTAGTTCCTTTTTTTGGTTTAACCAATTCTATATTAAGGATCCTAAAAGGTAACCCCAAAAAGGAACTACAATGGAGACTATAGGTAAGATCTGCAATGCAGGCACCCTACAGGGACCCTTGATTTCTGGGACGGATCCCCTGCGCACTCAAAACCATACCACCCGAAGGCAAATAGACAGCCATACACCTGATGCCCTGCATTAAAGAGCTCTTCGGTTAATTATGATAGGGTTGTGAGGTATTGGAGCGATAGCTATGAAGGGACTAAATTCCAAGTGTTCAGAACTCTATCTTACCAACCTCCAAGGATTGCAACCCGAGGCCCAAGAGGCATGTCTTGACTCCCAGGCGATACTTCGGAAGCACCCCACCCTTCACCGTCCCTACCGGGGTGGAGGGGTTTATGGGTTTAGGGGCTTCGGGGACCATGGCCTGATAGAGCAAAAGGCTCGACCCAGCTGCACCATGCAACCACAAAATCCCAAAGCCCGAAGACTAAATGCCAATCAGTCCTAAACCGTTACAGCTCCATACCTTAACACCAAGTCCCCAACACTGAACTGGCTTCATCTAAACCCCGATTTCCCCTATAGTCTCCCTTCAAGGGAACCCTCCCAAAACTCTAAACCCTAAAACCCTAAACCCTAAAACCCCAAAAAAACCCAAAACCCACCCAAAAACCCTAAAGCCCTCACTACAGAGCCCTTATAAGGGTGTACCCCTTGAAGGAAGCCCCCGAAAAGCAAGGACCCTTCGGGGCTCCGCCCAGGGGCCCTCGCAGCTCTGCAGGCGGTTTTCCGCCACTCTCAGCTCCTGCCCGGGCTCCCCGGGCTTCCGGTTCGGGGCTTAGGGCTTATAGGGTTTATAGGGTTTAGGGTTTGTAGGGCTTATAGGGCTTATAGGGTTTGTAGGGCTTATAGGGCTTATAGGGTTTATGGGGTTTATAGGGCTTATAGGGTTTATGGTTTAGGGTTTAGGGCTTCCGGTTCGGGATTTAGGGCTTTTAGTGTTTATAGGGTTTAGGGCTTAGAGGGTTTAGAGGGCTTAGGGCTTATAGGGTTTAGGGTTTGTGGGGCTTGTAGGGCTTGTGGGGCTTATAGGGTTTTGGGTTTATAGGGTTTATAAGGGTTTATATAGGGTTTACGGTAGTAGCGGGTAGTAGGGTTTCGAGCTCAGGGTGTAGAGTGTATACGGTCTAGGGATCAGGGTGCTAACGTACTAGAGACTAAGTACGAGTATTCATGCAAGTACTAGCACTAGCACCACGACGACGACAACTACATCCACGCCGAGCTGCTGGTGGCGTTAGCTAAGGTCCCAGATGTTTTAAAGTACTGCCAGCACTGAGGGTCTCACGAGCCCTATAGTACTCTGGGCTCTGTTTAAGGAGCTACATTGAAGATAACGGTAACAGGGATCTACACTGAATAAGATGGCTTGCTTACTATGGTAACTTAGACTGAGATTCGTAACAAGAACCCAATGAATGGAACTCCCTGGTGAACAGAACAATCTTCCGGGGGCTTCGGCAAAGCTCTGTCGACTCCCCCTTGATTAAGCCCATTTATGAATTTGTCCGCCGACTCCCTGTCTCGATCTTTGGGGGAAAGTGGGGTTAGCGGTTGTGTGTTTAGGGTTAAGGTTTGGCTGGGTAAGGTGTGACGGCGACGTCGCCTCCAACCGATGGTGCGTTGCTTGCATTTCGAGTTCGAGTCTACTCGTTACTGCTTGGTAGATGGCCACATGGCCCCGTTTAAGTATCAAGTCAAAGCAGACCCAACATGTGGCCAGACTCTGGAGACTTTTGAGCAGGCCGCACGGCGATGTCAAAGCAAGTGAGTCATGGAATCCATGGCACAGGATGTCAGAGGGAACCTGGCTTTCCTAGCGGTGCAGAGCTACTGCACGGAGGTTAGCGAAGTGCCATGGTTAGTGCCGCAGTGTTGCATAGGCTCTCTAAGACTCTATGAAGTTCTCTCCACACCATCATTCAACCTTCGGACCTTGCGGGCCTGCACGATTGCAGCTGCCTCGGCTTCTGGCACACCGGCCGTGAAGAGGTGAATCTTCAACGCAACTTCAGGCCATTTGCTGATGAGATCACTGTAGGCCTGAAGTTTGAGCACCTGCGCAGAGTTGTCTTTGATGTAGGAGAGACAAGCCTTCTCGAGCTGCGCGGCCTCGAAAACGTGCGCCTGGCGGAGGATGCAGCAGACCTGCTCGGCGCTGAGCTGGTTGCAAAGCTGCGCTTCGCACCACCGCTGGAGCCGCTGTACCTCAGTATTGTAATAAGGAATGTGCCCAGCCTTTGCGAGCAACCCCTGACATACCCTAAAACCAGTAGTATATGTCTCAATATGTAGAGGTGATGCGTGCTTTATTTTCACAGGGTAGCCATTGAGATGAGTATTTCCCGCTCGAGCCAGTAGTTGACCCGCCTGAAGCTGATGTCAGTGGCTTGTCTGTGCAGCAGAAACATAATGCTTTAGTAACCCTTCACAAATGGTTTTCGCGGTGCCTTCCCATGTAGTGCCTTCCTATATAGCAAAAAACGAGATGCCGTCCATACTTCCGAGGCATATCTTGCCTTGATCGCTATGCTAAGCAGTTAGCACGATCAGGATTGCAATCCGTGCTTGATGTATGTGCCTTCCGCTGGGTCTTTCCGTATATTAGGTAGCAGGAAAGGCATGAAGTGGCCGTATCTACTGCGTGCATCTGTTTTTGAACTCGAACTCGAGTCCATGCTTAAGTTTATCACTATGCAGATACTTCAGGCGAGGCGGGTACATGATGCTACTCCGTACTGAGTCCCCGTGGTTTGGATTGGGGTCACGGTGCTACGTGAGTGCACGTGTACATGTACTTAAGACTATGCCTATGTGAAAGGACCTCGTACGGATGGTAAGCTTTGCCGACACCCCACCTGGTACTTGTGACTGACCGCCCACAATGCCTCCATCTGTGTCAGAGGCGGACTGCCATCTTTCTTCACAGCTTGGCTCGATGGCTTCGCTAGATCCTCGACAGTGGGAAGGTTGTCCGTGTAGAGATACCTCAAAAAGGCCTTGAAGGTATCCGCAGCGCAGTCCTCAACCATGATGACCCTCGAAGTGGACTCCTGCATCCCCGAGTTCAGTTGCGTCTTGAGAACCTCCGATCTGGCGCAGAGAACTTGCGAGTGTGCGTGGATCACCTCATCCTGCAGCCTGAACCTGGGTTCTTGTTTGGGGGAATTTTTTAATTGAAGTTGCCATCATAAGGAAACCGTATTATTTACTATAGATCCCTATTATGGTAACTCAAAAAAATCCCCTAACAAGCGCTCAGGAGCTGCACATCGCCCGAAGCAGCATCCTCGAAGAGAGTTTGCACGTCACGATGCAGGGTCGGCTTTGGAATGTCCACCGCCTCTCTCTCAGAGCGCTGGGACGTAACTTGGACTCCCAAAAGACGGACTTCCAAAACCAGCTTCAATGTCAAAGTGTCGTCCTGCACCCACTCTGATTGCAGAAGCTGTTCATGAGTCAGGCCAAAGATTCCGATCGCCTGTGGGGGAGATCCCTCCGCATGCACATCTGGGCCATAGGCTCTGAGTTCATGTGCCGGGTGGATCTCATCCTGTGTAGCACCCCACTGGACGAAGTCACCTGTGCTGTTCTTGGCAAAAATGCCATAGCGCAGCGCCATGGGCTCTGCACAGTCATAGGCGCGTATGGCAAGGGAACCACAACGTCTCTTGCCATCATCGGTCGAGTTCATGACGGGGCCTCCAGAGGGACTGTAGACGAAGCAGAATGCGAACCCGCCCACGAAAAAGACGGTGGAATTCGCGACAGAAGTCCGTTCATGGCGAAGCGCTGTTCGAAGCCAAGACATCGGAAGAAGCTTCCATGTGAACTCTCCTTCCAAGATTTGGTGGCCAAAGTTGGTGCAGGCATCACCGGATGCACGCACCACACCGTTCTTGCGCTGACCCTGGACCGGCTGACGGCTGCAAGCTTCTGAAGAACAAACAAACTGTCCAGATTCGTCTGCATCGATATCTCCTTTGTATGCTTCGTCCGAACCGTTCAGATCCTCCTGCTCGAGCAGCTCCGCCTTCAGCTCTTCTAGCTCCCGTCGCAGCCGCTGCCGCTCTGTAGCGCGATCAATCTCGTCATCAATTTCCTGGTTGGCCCTTTTAACCCTGGGGCTCCAAATAGCCCAAAGTAGGTCCTATTTATAGACTTTAGGCCCCAAAGTAGGTACCATTTGCATACTTGGAGCCCTTGGGTAAAGCCTCTTTGAAACTATTGATAAATAGGGTTCTCCTAAGCCCGGTAAGGGAAAATATAAAATATCCCAAAGGCCTACCTAGTTTCCTGAGACCGTGTCCGTGCCGCCTGCAGCCTCAGTTTGGTGGCCTCGATCTCCGCCTGCAGCTCACTGGTTGTCATGGCCATTGCTGCCAGAAACAGATTACCTGCGAGACAGTGCGGTGAAGCCCTCTACTAGCCGTGAGCTCACACCTCACCTTGGACCCCAAGTTGAGAAAGCAAACTTCAATTCATCAACACACTGCAGATCTGCAGTTGGAGGTGTCTCAAAAGCCAACTGCTCCCTCCAAATTTGGTATTGCAATTCTTCTAGCCGGTCTGCCTTTCTCGAGCCTGGTTGGGCGAATACTGGAAGGTGCCGTGCAAGGCTGTGCCGAAGGTGACTTCACACACTGGAATACTCCGAGGGCCTTGCTTGACAAACCTCTAGCCCTCCACCCTGAATCCTAAACCCTAAAACCCTAAATCCTTAACCTTCACCCCACGCCCTAAATCCTAAACCCCTAAATCCTTAACCCTGCAGCCTAACCGACAAAACTCGGGGCCCCCAGCGACTGCACACTTTTCGGATCATGGCTCATCTCAAGACTCCCAGGCTCAAGCGCCTGAAAGTGTGCCGAGAAACCCTCAGCAAACCAAGCTCCACCTACAGTCGGTTTAGGGTTTAGGGTTTAGGGTTTAGGGTTTAGGGTAGTTCCTATTTTTAGCTTAACCAATTCTATATTAAGGATCCTAAAAGGAAGCCCCCAAAAAGGAACTGCAATGGAGACTACAGGTAGGTTTGGGTCGCAGATCTTCCAAAATCTGGACACCCTTCAACCACAAGGGTGCATACTGCAACACCTTAGGGTTTAGGGTTTGGGGTATTAGGGTTTAGGGTTTAGGGTTTTGGGTTTAGGGTCGTAGGTCCCAGCGCAGTCACCTAAAACCAAATAGCAGGCCAAACATGGGCTAGTTCTCTAAATTAGGGTCCCGTTTAGGGTTCCTTAAAGGGATCTATAAGGGTTTCTTTAGGGTTTCTTTACGGGCACTATTAAGGGTTCTATATGGGTAGTTCTCTAAATTAGGGTCCCCTTTATTAGGGCCCTTTTTTATAAGGGTGCCGTAGGATATATTGGGGACCACCTACCTATAGTCTCCGTTGTAGTTCCTTTTTGGGGTTACCTTTTAAGATCCTTAAAAAAACTTGGTTAAACGAAAAAAGGAACTACAATGGAGACTACAGGTAAAGAGGGACCCTGATTTAGAGAACTACCCATAGCCCTAGACCCTAATCGCTAAACCCTACATCCCTAAAGCTCTAAACCCTAAACCCTAAAAAGGGACCCTGATTTAGAGAACTACCCACATCACGCTGCAGCGCTGCACGGCCTCGAGTGAAGGCGCCTCGTTGATGCCTCTGGTGCCCAGAAAGGCCACGGAGTAGGGTTTGCTACACTAAAGCCCTGTAGTTTGGAGTTTAGGGTTTAGGGTTTAGAGTATAGGGTTTAGGGTTTACCTATAGTCTCCATTCTAGTTCCTTCTTTTGGCTTAACCAATGCTATATTAAGGATCCTAAAAGGTAACCCCAGAAAGGAACTACAATGGAGACTATAGCTAAACCCTAGACCCTAAACCCAACGCCCTAAACCCTATACCCTCAGCCCTAAACTCCAAACTACAGGGCTTTAGGGTTTAAGTTCAGGGTTTGTAGTATTCGGGCTTCAGAACTGAATCCATCGAATCTAAGCCCCCAGCCCCGGCCCTATCAACGTCACTTTCAAGGTAAACCCTAAAACGAGAAGCCCAAGAGGAGCCTTCCGACCTGGAAGCCGAATCTGAGGCCTGGGCCTTTTTTTTTCTTTTTTTTTTGGGGG